GGGATTGGGGGAGGGGGGTTTGGGGGGGGAGTGCCGTGGAGGAAAATTAGACCTAAAATGACCTTGTTTCCGTGGAAAATATAATCAGGGCTTAGATTTAAAGCAAAGTACAAGGCAAAATAAAACAATAATAACATGTGCTTACAATGTAATATACAGTTAATTCTTAAAAAAAAGATGATTATTTCATGTACAGATTAAATCAATCACGTCTTGCAGCCATATAAGAATCTAGCACACGGCATGATAATTATATATGCAGGAACACTGTGATTTTTTCTTCTACGAGATTGTTTCTAATGTCTTGTTTTATGATATATAAATATATAATTAATTATCAGCTCTTACAAACTTTACGATCTTAATTAAGAGGTCCCTTCGTTATGTAACGACCCAACCGATCGTTTCGCCTTCTACAACCCTGTTTCCCTAAATAAGACTCTCCATATGTGCTTTTACTGTTTTATGACTTGCGAGGGTGATTAGTTCAGGAATTTAAAGGGTTCAGGTTGAAAACGGAACACTTGGTTTCTTAGTTTGGCTTTAAAAAGGTAAATTTGACTTCGGTCAACGTTTTGAGTAAATTTCCTCGAAATCGGGATTTGACAGTTCCAATAGGTTTGTATGATGATTTTGGACTTGGGCGTATGCTCGAATCGGGTTTTGGACAACCCGGCAGTGTTTCCGCGCTTAATAGTGAAAATTGGATGTTTGAAGGTTTAAAGTTCTTCAAATTTGGTTTGGAGTGGGTTTTGGATTAATCGAGGTCCGTTTGAAATTCTGAGCCTGAGAATAGTTCCGTATGGTGATTTAAGACGTGCACACAAAATTTGATGTCATTCCGAGTAGGTTAAGTATATTTCGGCACATTCGGAGTAAGCTTGAAGAACTTGAAGTTTCTAAGTTGAATCAATTTGGTTTGGGATATGATTCTTAGTTTTGATATTGTTTTATGCATTCCGAGAGTTCGAGCGAGTCCGTTTTATGATTTCAAACTTGTTGGTATGTTCGGATGGGACCCCGGGGTCCTCGGGTGTTAATCGGATGAGGCACGGACCAAGTTTGGACTTATGAGCAACAGATGAAGCTTTCAGCCTCTGGTGCAATCGCACATGCGCTTGGCCAGCCGCAGGTGCGAGCCACGAGCCACAGAAGCGAACTAATGAGGGCAGCCTAGTGATCGCAGACGCGGAGGATTTGGCTCACCTGCGAGCGCGCAGGTGCGAAGGAAGGGACATAACTTCCACCGCGGCTTGCAACCCAGTTTAAATATTTCACATCATGTAAAAATGCTAGGATCTCGTCCTCAAATCCGAATCACAATTTTGTTGCACATAGTGCCAATTGAAATTTTCAATTTCCTTTCTTTCTTCTTTTCAATATATTTCATAAATAATTTTCACAACATATAATGAACTTCACACCGGTAGGGCGTATGATTCATAAATATTGGAATCAATTATTCTAAAACACATTAAACCTATTGTATTGAATAATAAATTTTTACTTTTGGACTTATACCCCTCAATGGTGCACAAAAATAAAATGATAGACACAGACTCACATCTTTAAATCTCCCAACAGGGATACACATATAAGTGGGTCACAAATTTATGAAGCTCACCCATAAGTGGAGCATAATTAGAGGATTCACCTCAATATTCAGAACCGAATCAAATTAAGGAAAATATCCTTTTATAATAAAAATCAGGATCGTACTTGTAACGACACCATCTGGTGTATTGGTCTCAGCCAAATCATAGTGATTAAATCAACGGGTTGGGCCTCCACCTCTTAGGAGCCCACTACCCGCCTGTCCTCCAGGTCTAGCTGACTGTGCACGTGGAGTACCAACTGGAATAAAGCTTGTAGCTGGAGTGTTCTGATTAAATACACCCCTCCCAAGTCTGGGACAATCTCTCATGATATGCCTAGTATCATCACACTCATAACAACCCCTCTGAGGTTGCGGCTGCTCGTACTGAGTTTGTGTCGGATAACTGGAATAACCACTGTAAGAATCTCGTGTCGGTGGTGCACTGTAAACTGGA